AACCCAAACCCAAACTCATATACCCAAACCCAAACCCAAACCCAAACCCAAACCCAAACCCAAACTCAAATACCCAAACCCAAACCCAAACCCAAACTCACCAAACCCAAACCGTTTGGGTTTGGTGCATGCCTAGGTACGAACCTTCTATTAAGTGCGTCAAGATCACGGTAAACTCCATCATGATGGAAAGAATTATCACAAATTCAGAAGGTGAGAAAAGAGTTCTCTAAGAAAGATCTATTTATCTATTGCATCAAATAACAAAGACGTCATTGCGTAATGAACAAGTTAAATACATCACGTTATTCGTTCTAGATCATTTCTTCTGTCGTTGTATGACGGGAGATATGCACTTCGTTAGAAAGGAGAATGAAATTGAAAGAATTCAATCATTCATTATGATTTCTAGGTTTGTCTTTCATTGAAAATAGTTTGACATTAAAAAATAGCCTTCCATTTTATCTGTGCAATAAAAGCATTCGAAACAAACAGCAATAAGTTGAAAATATTTCTTTTTTTTCGAATACCTTCTATACTTCAAATCAATATTTGTTTCTCTTCTTGGCAATTCCATTTTTTTGTGAAAGCGGTCAGCTTTATCTAATTTTTTCTTATTTCTCTTTGCATAGAAAAATTTTGTTGATCATCATCATTGATAAAGTCATGATTTCATCAGAACTCTGAAATATAGTTGAAAGATCTTTGAAATGTTTGATGTACGAATAAAGTGAAAATAATGAAATACATTTTAAGATTTTATTTCAAACCACGTATTATTCTATCTTGAGTTTTCGACGAGTAACACTCGACATCATCAGAAAAATGAATGGAAAGAAACAAAAAGTTACACGTATTATGACAAAAATGTTGAAAGGAGAAAAGAACAGACATTTTCGATAAATATCTGTTTGTTATGTCACGTACTAAACGCGTGTCATAAGAGAGAATTACATTGTGTTTTACAGATGTGTGTTTATTTTCTTTCTTTCCTTACATATACATGATGTCATCCATATCGATCTCTTTCTTTCTGTAAAGATTTTTTTTCTATCGTTGTTTTCTTGGTTTTTTCCTTTTTTTCTTTCACATAACAACTTAGATATCTTCCAAGCGGATTTTAACTATTCTTGGTATATTTCATCCCTTATCTAAATCTCAGATATAAATATCCGTTATTTTTGTATGAAAATGATGTACTTTTAGTTTCAAAACAAACTGCGTATACGCAACAACGATTTTACCGATCTAACACTGTTTTGTCTTTGTTTTTTTAATATATTTTTGTCCTAATACATGTAATTTTTTGTTTTCTTTTTTCATTCGTTCTCCTGATGATGTCGAGTGATATTTGTCGAAAGCTCGAGATAGAATAATATATGATTTGAAATAAAATCTTAAATTGTATTTCGTTATTTATTTTTAACTGTTACTTCAACTAATATTATTAAAGTGAAAATTCTTCGTACATGATTGAATCTATTTTATTTTTCTATCCGATATGAAAATTCTTTGAACATAACCAAGTTTAGATAAAAGATCTTTTTATTGACATATATATCTTCTTTTACTTATTGTAGATTGATATTACTTATTAACAACGAGTGAGGATCAATCGAACGAACGGAAAACATTATCGCCATCTCAAATGTCACTTAATATTGAGTTACCAGATTCAACGATGAATAGTATAGACAATATAAATTTTAGTTCATCTTCGATATTAACAAAAGAGGAATGTATATTGAAAATCTGTGAAATTGTTGAGTTAGATGATTCTGATCAATCAAAACGAATTGCGGAAAAATCAATTACTGATGGTAGAAAAGCTTTACATGATTATGATCAAGATCTTTCACCGCGAATACTTCGTGACGAAATTGATGAAAGTCAAAGCGAGGTTTTAAAATTATTAATACGTTATATTGAACAAGAATGGTACAGAAACACTCCTGAATGGTTTCAACAATATCTTCAACAAAAAAAAACTGTTTCATCTAATATTTATAATCAAATTTTAATACGAACTGCTGATTATGGATCAAAATTTATCAAAGAAAATCTTTTATTATCATTAATTATTCAATTTCTATTTGAATTCGGTGATAAACGTATTCTTGAAACACCAACTATCGATCAAATACGGGAAAATTTAATAGCCGATGGTCGTCAAGGTATTGAACAATATGCAGATGATATTGCTTTAAATGTTAAGGAAGAACAGTTAAAGAACGATGAAAGTCCATTATATTTAGCCTTACAAGATTATTATTGTAAATCATTGAAAAATCTATTTGAAGATCCTGATGTTGCCATTCAACGAGCTAATACAATTAAAATAGCTTTAACTTGTGTTACTAATGATGGATGGTGGAAAGGATTACATAATAAAAAATTTCAAGATGAAATAGCACAAAAAAAATTTAAAAAATTAATCGAAAAATTAATTGATTATTTAAATAAAAACAAAATACCGACACCTGTTGATGCATTATCGAATGGTAATTCAACAAATTCATCACTTATCAATTCAGCATCATCATCATCAGTCTCATCACAACCGAGTGCAATAACTACATCAACTTTTTCATCAAATCAAAGTTCAAATAGCTCATATATTCAAATAAAATCTTCAATTTTAAATGAAACAAAACCGATCTCAGTAATAACAACAAATATTGATGAAGAGAAAAGAAATGACGAATGTAAAATTATTATAAAGTGTATCAATGAAGATGATAAATTAAAATTATCTCATTTAGTTGAAGCTGGAGAATTGATATATATTGATAAAAAATTAAATGATGTTATAGATAAGATTATTAATGATTATGCTTGTCAAAAATATTTTTCTTTATTTATTAATAATTGCCTTATACCAATGATGTATTTATTAAAAAGACATCAAAATCTTGATGATTTTATTGAAGGTTTATTTCAAAAATATGACGAATTAGAATTATCATTAAAATCAACTTAATTAAGTTTAAGAATGTTAATTGATATATTATTACTTAATTGTGATTTTTCATTATCACGAAAGATAATGTTATTATTAAGTAAAAGAAATTCTGTTCCATTTCTACAACCATCATTAAAAAATTCATCATCATATCGTTTTGTTTCGGATATTATACATGTTTGGAATTATTCAATTCCAATAATTCTTTCATTTGGTATTGGTTTATGTTCAGGAAAATCAACAACTATAAATAATATTTTTCTTTCATCATTTGAACAATCATCTTCAAGTATTTATTTTCAAAATACAATTGATATTGATTTTGGTTATAGTTTTTTACCTTCACGATCGATGAGCATTGCTGATGCTCATGGTTCGATGACAAAAACATTATTAAAAAAATTCATGAACTATTTGATGGATTTCTTATTCATGTAAAATTTGAATATCTTTTCAATAATATTGATACAGTTATTGATCAATTGAAGATAATTATGACACAAGGAAAATATCTATTATTGATTATTCGAGATGTTCCTAAAGAAAGTAATATTGATCAAGCTATTATTCAATTGAATCACATTATAGAAAATCAAAAGCATCAATTAACAATTATTCGAGATACTCCTCCCGATAATCATCTTCAACATTCAAGTCTTTCATCATCAAAATATCCTACGATACGAGCATATTTTCTGCCTGATATTTCAAATCAAGGTGATCGTATTAATAGAAATCATATCATAACATTACGTAATCAAATCTTAGATCAACTACCTAGTCAATGCATTCATGATATTGATTCAATAAAGGGGGAATTAAAGTTTTTAATGGATGATGATTATAAAAATCATTTAAGAGAAGTCAATCAAAAGATCAAACCATTAACAGATAAATTATCAGATACTGCTTTAAATGAAATTCGTGTACCAAAATATTTTCCTGAATATTTACAATTTGTTCAATTATGTGAATTAAAATTAAAATCAGCACGTTTTGATTTCTATGGTTCTGAAAGTGATACTGTTGTTTATGAAGTTCGTCGACAAATTTTTGAATTAGAAACAGCTTCAAAAACTGTTAATCAATCATTAAGTGTTATTTTTCAATTATTTCTTGATATTCTCAAAGCATCTGATTCAATCACATGTTTAGAATTACTTAGTACACAAATAAAAGATGAACGTCAACATTTAATTTCAACAAGTGATATGGCTATGCAATTGCCTATTCAAAAATGTTTATCTTTAGAAGTTTTATGGCGTAATGCAATTGTTTGTAGTCAATATCAACCATTAGACATTCAGAAATCTCTTCAAGGACATTATTTTGATTATATTAAAGCTGGTTTTCCATTTGAAATTATTGACGGAGATAATTTTCATTTTCAACATACATTTCTATTTGAATCTTTAATGCCTTTTCGAAATCGTCGAACTTTTGTTATTAGTATTATTGGACCACAAAATTCGGGTAAAAGTACTTTATTAAATTATATGTTTGG